TGCTGCTGCTGCTGCTGCTGCTGCTGTGCTGCTGCTGCTGCTGCTGCTGCTGAGCCAGCTGCGACCGCAGCAGCATGGAGCGACGGAGGAGACCCCTAACAGCAAAAGACAAAGCTCTAACTGTCCGCTGCAGCCTTTCGTTTTCTGTTTTTAGTTTCTCAGTCTCTGTCTTTGTATTTATCTCTGCTGTCTCCTCAGGTCCTGGGGTTTCACTGCCTCCCTGCGTCTGCACACTGTCCCCGCTGCTGCTGCTGCTGCTGCTGCTGCTGCTGCTGTTGCTGCTGCTGGGGGTTGCTGCTGGTTCTGATTCTGCTGCAGTTTGGGGACTGAACCGCAGCAGCAGCAGTCTCTGTCGAATGGCTGGCACGAGGACTCTAAGTATCCTCATTATCCTTTCTTTACGAGCTGTGTTGCTGCTGCTGCTGCTGCTGCTGCTGCTGTTGCTGCTGCTATTGCTGCTGTTGCTGCTGTTGTTGTCTGTATTTGTTTGATTCGTCTGGTCTGGGTTATCTGCTGCTGCTGCTGTTGCTGCTGCTGCTGCTGCACCGCTGATGCGAGCTAGCTGTGTAGTAAAAGGCATTTTAATTTGTTTTGCTGCTTTTGCTGCTGCAGCACGCTGCGTCTGCAGCTGCAGCGTATTAAACTTCAGGTGAGCATCGAAGCCCTTTATTTGTATATCTCCTTTTGTTGCTGTTATGCCGTTACCAGCAGAGAGAAGACGAGAGGCCCCAACCTTTACCTTCATCTTTCCTATTTTATCTCGGTGACCTCCTGCTGCTGCTGCTCCCTCTGCTGCTGCTGCTGCTGCTGCTGCTGGTGGTGCTGGTGGTGGTGGTGGTGCTGGGTCTTCGGATAAGGGGGAGAAAGGGGATGCGAGAGAGGGAGAAACGGCGCTGCTGCAGAGTGCTGCTGCAGCAGCAAAAACAACAAAGAGACAGAGACCCCCCACAGGGAGACCCCTGAGCTTCTGCTGCTGCATTCTCTGTCTTTATTATAAATTAAAAAGGAGACAGATAGGGGCTAGATAGATAAAGAATAAAATAAAAAGAAAGAAGACAGACGAAAAAAAGAAAAAAAAAAGAAAAAAAACACACAAAAAGACAGCTAGCTGCTGCTGCTGCTGCTGCTGCTGCTGCTGAGGCCAGCGGTCCAGGAGACCCTTCGCTGTCTCTTTATACAAATATATAAACACAAAAAAAGAGATAAAATATAAATAAAAAACAAAAATAAAGACAATAAAAAAAGAGAGAAAGATGAAAAACACACACACAACACAAAAGGGGACAGGCAGACCGCTGGAGCTGCGGAGACACCGCAGCAGAGGCCCGGTGTCTCCGTGTGGTTTGTGTGTATTTTGTTTTTATATATATTTTTATTATATAATTTATTTATTATTATTCTTTTTATTCTCTTTTTGTCTCTTTTATTAACTTATATACAAAGAAAAATACACTGTCTCGTCTTCTCTTCT